AGGGGGAAAGAAAGGGTCCTGGGAATGAAGTGGACAGGAAGTGAGGGCCATTTTTGGGGTAGACATTGTGTGGTGCTCCCAGCAGGGGAAGAAAAACTCCTGAGCATCACACACGCACAGACGCCGCTCCAGTCCTCTCACACTTACACACTTCCTTTCACACACCTCTGTCACAGCCAGGCCTTCCCAGAGCTTTACACTTTCACTGGCTGACCGTTCCCAAAACAACTTCTCATACAGTGAACACAAAAAACATATCCAAATACATTTATCTATCCATCTAACCATGAACATCTAATCATCTACTAATCTATCCAAACATTTATCTATGCAACGTTTATATTCAACATCTATTCACTCACCTATCCATCTATCTATCTGTCTATCTATCTGTCTGTCTATCTGTCTCTGTCTGTCTGTCTGTCTATCTATCTATCTATCTGTCTGTCTGTCTGTCTGTCTGTCTGTCTGTCTATCTATCTATCTATCTATCTGTCTATCTATCTATCTATCTATCTATCTAACTATCTATCTATTAGTTTATCTATCCATTAATTTACCTAACATCTATGAATCCATCTATCTAGAAATGTATCTATCAATTTATATATCTACCATCTATTTGTCTAACCACCCCCTTGCAATTTATCTATCCATTTTTCTATCTCACAATCAATCAATCTGGCAATTTATCTATCCATTTATCATCTATATCTATATATATATTGAAAAGTATCTATCAATTTATATATCTAACTATCTATCAAACATATATCTATCTTGAAATGTATCTATCCATTTATATATCTAACATCTACCTATCTAACATATTTCTATCAATCTATATCTATCTATCTTGCAATTTATGTCTATCTAACCATCTATCTATCTAGAAATGTATCTATTCATCTATTTATATACCTAACATCCATCTATCTATCCATCCATCCATCCATCTGCATCTAGTGTGTGTGTGTGTGTGTAAACACCTCCTCTGACTCGTGAGTAATCTGTTGTGTTATATTATCATAATCACACTCCTCAGGAAAGAAGAGAGGAAAAGGAAGTGTGTGGTAAAGTGGAGCTCACTGTTCATCATCTCCAGCAGAGAAACGGAAAAATCAGCTCCTCACACACTGTCACACATACACACCCTCCCTAACCAATCCACTCTCACGTCCTGCAAAGTCCCGCCCTCTCCCAGATGGGCCTCAGGCAGTGGTGTATAAATACACCTATTACTGATTTACTCTGACACTACCTTACACTGACCCTCCAGCTCTCTGACGCTCTCTGGACTATGATGCTGACAGCGTCTGCTCTACTGCTGCTCCTGCTCGGCCCTGGCATCGGTGCCGTGCCCAGCGGACTCTGGGAACACCAGGGATCCTCTCGTTGTGTGCCCATCCCAAGCAACATGGCCCTGTGCCAGGGTCTGGGCTACAACAGCATGCGGATGCCCAACTTGCTGGGACACGAATCTCCAGCTGAAGCGGTGCAGCAGAGCACTAGCTGGCTGCCGCTACTCGCCCGAGAGTGCCACCCACACGCCCGCATCTTCCTGTGCTCGCTCTTCGCTCCTGTGTGCCTTGAGAGGTAAGACTTCCTTATAATAGACTGACTCTCAGTGATCGGCAGGAACAATGATGCTGAACACTAAATGAGATATATATATATATATATATATATATACACATACATATATATATATCATATATATATATATATACACACACACACACACACACACACACACACACACACATTGAGGATATTTTTTCAGTTGTGGCTTGTGTTTAGCATTACATAGCATTTAAATCAGTTAAATGATGCCATTATCATGCAAATGTGTACTAATGTGTATGTTAAGTGGAAGTGAAAATCATCTGCAATGAAATAACAATATAGAAAGACAATACCCTTGCTTAAGCAAGAATGTGTTTTTAAATGATTAATCCTCTTGTTGTGGTCATCGTGACCCATGGATAAATGTATTTTTCTAGTTGGTAGTTAATGTTATTGCATTGGACTAAAAGTTACTGACTTGGCTCATACATGGTATAACAACTTAAAAAAATAAATAATTCATTAATAAAATAAAAATAAATATCCAATAAAAATAATAATTTATAATTATAATTAAATATAATAAATATATATTTTTAATTTTTTAGGATTTTTACCTGCCTTATCACACTTGTGTTTCTGGTCAGAAATGACTGTCCTACAAAAAATTGCTTATAAATCTCTCTATTATGCTTTATTATCACCAAATCTTGAATTCAATTTTTTGTCAACTTGTTTTCCTTCAATAATTTTTCATGTTTTAAATTTAATTTTTGAAACTGATTGATCATAGGCCTTATGCACCTCAGTTTTTGAGTGAATGTATATACATGTAAATATTTTCAAAATATATACTGTATGTGTGTGCTTTTATATATACATAATAAATATACAAAGTACACACACATATATTATATAAACAAAAACTTTTATTCTGGATGCGATTAATCGCGATTAATCGTTTGACAGCACCAATATATATATATATTTGCAATTTGCCACCAGTGAATATATTTGTCAGGCTGTGGGCTAAGAAACCTCTCATCTTCATGCTACTTTTCTGCATCAAATCATAACAAAGCTCTTAACAGTGAGAGAATTGTATTATTTCTCTCATGGCTTCGCCTCTGGCCTTTCAGGATCATTTCACCATGCAGGAGTCTGTGTGTGTCGGTACGGGACAGCTGCGCCCCCATCATGAACTGCTACGGTTACCCCTGGCCTAGAATACTACAATGCGACCAGTTTCCCAAAGATCACCTAATGTGCATTTCCTCAGTTGCGCATATGCAAAACGGCACCAGCAATGATGGCCGAGGTAAACGGAGATCTTTCTTTTTTTAACATACATATTTTCTCAAAGCAATGCAGCAGGGTTTTCTCCGTCAAACTGATTTTTATGGTTGGTTTCAGTGGTGCCGCGTGCGAGCTGCACAGACTGTGAGCTGGAGGAGGCCACGTCATCCAAAGACCTGCTCGACCTCTTCTGTAAAAGTGACTTTGGTAAGAAACTCTACTTTTTGCTCATTCAGAACAACCATAAATTGTTAAAGTGCCCCTATTATGGGTTATGAAAGGTTCATATTTTGGTTTTGGGAGTGTCCAACAACAGGTTGACATGCATGCAAGCTCAAAAAACACTTTCATTGTCTTTTCCAAACCCCTCTTTTGCGTGACGCTAATCTGCGGTGATTGGTCGATTGGTCTCATTTTTATTTCATCATTCCTGTAATGCCTGATAAAGCAGTGTTTGTGAGCGCAGTGATGCTTTGTGTACAGCGTTACCGGGGAAACCGCTATTTTTACCGCTCCAAAAGCGCACCTAGTGGCAAAGAATGAATTTGCATTTTCATTCAGACCAACGCGAAAAGACCAACAAGTGGGCGGCAATATGCTAATGTTTCATGTTGAGGTCAACATGGGATTCGTTTTAAAAACGACTCGTTTCAATGATTCAGAGTCGACTCTTTCTTTTGAGAGACAATAACTTTATACACGGTGCACTTTCAGATTTAAAACGTTGCAGGATGTTTTCATTCACTTAGAGCTGCTGTGTTACACACTGCATGAAAGATAACTTTCAAAAATCCATAATAGGGGCACTTTAATGCTGAAACTTCCTCTCTCTTTCTCTCTCTCTGCTAGTGGTTAAAGTGCGTCTATCCAAGCTGAACTCCAGTAGTTCTGTCCTGACGATGTTCTCCCTGGGCTCTCGGCTGGAGGTCCTAAAGCACGGCCCGCTGCTGGGAGGGGAAATGAGGAGTCGTCTGACGCTGTGGCTGGAGCGGGACGCCACCTGCGTGGGCAACCTGACCCGCAACCATCCCGACGGGGGAGCCTTCCTGCTGACGGGCACGGTGTCGGGCAAGAGACTGCTGGTCACGAAAGCGTTTAGCTGGGGAAAACGCCAGCGGCACCTCAGCCAAGCAGCACGCAAGTGGAAAAGCCATCGGTGCAGAGGGTAGAGTTTCAGAAAACGTACCTCAGAGTGTTCACAATGTTGTAAATAATAGAAGAGCCTTGCACTATATTTTTAAATCTTAAGATATTAAACTTTTTCAAAAGTTTTTTTTTCTGAAAAGAGAGTCTATGTGTCTATTTTCTGTCACAAATTTCAGGGTCACTTTTACATCCGTAATTAACGATTTGAACTCGAAACACAGGGTTATACAAAAATGAATCTCTACAGATGAAATTGGAAACTCACCAAACAGCAGAGGCTTCAAGCTGAGGGTGCGCATGTTATGGGTCCGGTCAGGAACCAGAGAAACTCTTTGCACATGTCCAACCTGAGCAGAAAAGATATAACATCCCCTGGATTACTCCATGAAAAGAGTGCTTTAAGTGATGGAATAATGACTTGGATAGCTAACATCAACTTTAATGTCATTAAAGGCATTTTTTAAACTTATCAACACATTTTTAACACAATTTATAAACATGTGATTATTTAAATTCTAGATAGTAATACATTGTCTTTTTTATTTAGACTTGTGTTGTAATCGTTAACTAAAATACAGCTTTTACCATTAAAATTGTTTCATTCATTTAAATAAAGCTGAAACGATATAAAATGTAAATATTTAAATCATAAATAGCTCTCTCTCTTGCCTTAGCTACTAAGTGAAATCAAATAAGCCTGTGTTGTAGTACTAAAATTTATAAAACAAAATCTGAAATAAAGTCAAAGCTACACTGATATAGTTTTAGAGTTTTAGCACAAATAGACTGTAAACCTGATATAGTTTTACCATAAAAGTTTCTCGCCTATTATATAGCCACAGAAGCTAGAATTGTCAAAAAACAAACTAAGAAGAAAACTGAAAATATAAAAGTTAAATGCTAATTCAAAATCTTAATAAATACTAAAAGGGGATGCATATAATAAAAATGTGAACATTTTCTATGTCTGAAAAAAAATGCTTAAAATTGCAAAAATTTGAATTTAATGTTTTAATTTAATGTTTTCTTTGTCTCCAGCCTTATTGTATTAATGTTTTGAATAAAAAAAATTCTACATTTAAAATGAAATGAGGGTGGAGGTGGTGATGGGGATACACTATTAATTATTTTAAACATGCACAAAATTTAAAGTCTCCACGTTTTCTATTAGTATTACAATTGTTAGTGCAGTAGGTTGGAAAAAAAGCACTCTTTGTACTTGACATTAATTTACACAGTTCAGGGCTAAGCTGTATATTGCTATATAATAATTTAATTTGTAACAGACAAATATAGGAATGTCTTATAAAAATTTAAGACAAAATTTTTTTAAAAAGCAACAAAAAAACAACAACACTTTTTTAAATGAAGAAAAAAAACACCCTGCTTTCTCAGATTTTTTAAAGTGGAAAGGAAAATCAGAATAAGAATAAGAAACATATATGATATCAGTGAATAACATGTACCCGGATGCCCTCCAGGCGCGGCAGCTGGAAGGAGAGCTCAGGGCTCAGGTTTGCTGAGGATGGGGTCCGGTGCTCAGTAGGCATGGGTCGAGGGGCACTAGCACTGTTCTCCAGGGGTATATCCTGCTCCCCAGACCCCGTGTTATAGTGCACATAAAGCAGCAAAGCTATGATGTTTATTATATAGATGTGGAAGAAGGCCATGACCACCACGAAGTACGCCCTGGAGCAGACGCTGCTCTTCTGGATGTGGAGTCGCTCGCGGCCGCCTGGGTGCCGCGGTGGAGGGGGGAAATAATTAGCCTCCCCCTCGAGCTCATGCAGACGGTCCTCATACTCACCCATCTCCTAAATCACTGCACTGATCTAACCTCTCATTTGAGCAGATCAGCCGGGGTTTACAGCCAGCGGAGGTTAGCTGGTTTGACAGCTGCTCACAGACATCACAGCCCCGAGCTAACACACGCCTACACCGCGGTTCAGATGCAGATATTGGCCACTCGTTTATAAATGCTCCATCGTGTGTGTGATGATAAGGATCTGTGCAGGAATGCCTTCCGATTTAGGACGATGTCAGCTGCTTCACAGCGCTCGTATAATCCAGTGGGCGATCAAATCTGACAGTCTGACACATAACAGATTAATTATACCAATAAAGCGGGGAAAACTCACGATTCCTTTATAAACGAAGAAAGAAAACAAGAACACCGCTTATATTCGTCTGTCATTTGCCCTACAAGCAACGCGAAGCAACCGACGCCAAGCTACAAATACCGAGTCAGGGTCATTTCAAAATAAAAGCTGGGCAGTTTGTGTTAGTTTATTTATTTTTTGTTGAAATGACTTTAGCTTAAGCTTAAATAGCTACATTTTGCGACATTTTTATTATATACAAATACCGATAATTACCTGCTGTAACTGTTTGTTAAAATACTGTTGTAAAAAACTGATGAGAGTTTAGACAATTTATTTAAATAGCCTATGTAATAATTACAGTGTGAATATATATACATATAAAAATATTTACATGTATTTACATGTATATATTTATATTCATATAAGTTATATCATATATAAATATATTAAATTTATAAACGTAACATATTTAAAAAAAATATATATACATGCATGTGTGTGTATTTATATATACATAATAAATATACACAGTACACACACATGTATTATGTAAACAAAAACTTTTATTTTGGAAGTGATCAATCGCGATTAATCGTTTGAGAGCACTAAATATACATATATAAACACTGTGTTTTTTTCTTAATTATCGGAGTACGTTTTACAAGAAAATACCATTTTAAACCATACTTCCCATTTCTTTGTAAATATTTGTGAAATTCTTTCGGTATTTCTGAGTGAAAATGATTTTAAAGTAAATCCAACCCCATTCTTTTCAGTGTAAGAAACAAGTGCATACATACATAATGCATGTTTGTATGGTGCATATAAGTGCAAAAACATAAATAAGCAAAAAGGTAAACTTTAGAAAAATAAACAAACGAATAAATAAGCTAAATGAAAATAATATAAATTAAATCATAAATGTGATTTTTGTGAATGTGAAAAATAATGAAAACCAATACATATAAATACACAAATCACTGATAAGCCGAAGAAAGCAAGCTAAACCTCATCAATAGAATCATCAACGTCATCATAAATATTTTTTGTTTTAAAAATTCTTCACATTTTTTTTATTACAAGTTAAACAAAAACTTTTGTTTGTGATAAAAATGTATCAAATAAAACATACAAAATGAGATTATATTACTTTATTAATAGACAAACATGTTGAGGGGGAAGCGTGAAGTAAAGTGAAGTAGTCACTGAGAAGTTTGCATTATTTTGCATTAAAGGTCACATATTTTACACCTCTCTGGAGGTGACCATCTCAATATATTTTTACAGCTGCTCTCTCATGAGCTCTGCTGAGAACAGGTCGATTTTGGCCTGTCTAATTAATATTCATGAGCCTCTCTTCTGATTGGCCTGTTGTTTTCTGAGTGACGCATGGCCAGGCCAATCACAGGTAACTAGGCTCAGCGACGTCACTGCGCTAGCTGGAGGCGGCAAAACAAAGGGGAAACTGGAGGCGGCCCATTCATAAGGAGCTTAAAATATCATCTTGAGGTGATGTTGGGTGCCAGAATTGACGTAATACAGCCTCAAATTAGAAATCTGATCGCATATCTGCTGCCACTGCCAGACAAAAAACCGACGACAGCTGTGGTTAAATGCGATAAAACGAGCGGACTGGACAGAAACGATCGTCAAAAATGCTCACGTTTGCAGCGCACACTTCTTATCAGAAAAGGCTCAATAAAGTATTGTCTTTTGTTGTTATGGGCGCGTCTACAGATTTCTTGCCATATGTCTATGTTTCTTGCATCTCACGACTATGTCGTGTATGAAATAATGTCTGTGTGCATGTGT